GCACGACATAGGATTACTTAAAGAATTGACTAAAAAAAACTACAATAAACATTTCGTGAATGATGGCTATTTAACATACAGGAGCTGCCTCCGCCCATGGCATTAACAAAGGCTACTATGAAGGAAATGGTAAGACACCACCTTACCTTCTTTCCTAATCGATATACAGGTAGATCTAGTCAACTGTGACAATAAACTAAACAAGAAGATTCAAGCTGAGCAAAGACTCAATAATGATAATAAAATATATCCGCAGTACCGACCCAATATATTCCCATATCGAACTAAATTCAGAAGCTTCAGAGTTAATTTCAAAAGCAATCGTCCAACTCCCCTGTCTGTTACCCAAACATTTAGTAGCCCAGATCCAAGAGCCTCTCTCATTTCTTTAACCAAATTTACCTCATGGCTGTGGGTCTAAAGATATCAGTTGATGCACAGAAAGAAAAATCAGACTATTTATTCTCTACACCTATTGTCTTTTCTCCAACTGCCTGCTTTTCCTAGTACACAAAAGCCTTCCGCATGGCCTTATTTCTTTACTGTAAACCTGAGCCAATATGACTCAATATATCCTTTGATACGCTTGAAAGAAAAATTAGGGCCATCACTGGAGCAACCCTTGGCCACAAGATAACTCAACATGTGCAGCATTCGTGTAATACATTTCTAAACATCATGATAAAATGATTGAAACTTACTCAACCACATGGTTCTTTACAACTTTGAAGTATATCCTCCAAAACTGCTGCTCCTTCAGGTACCGAGGGCATAGCTTAAACCTAAGTTGTGAAAGCTCCTGGAGACACAAAATAACTTTTTAAAATTAAAGAGCATATCCTCAGGCATCAACAATTTTTTACACAAGGCATCAACAACTAGTGTTTAGCAGTTTAGGAAAATCGAACTAAAGAAGCTACCAAGCCTACAAGTACTTGTGTGCAGGCACATCACTACTCTATACAAGACAGCATCATAAATAAGCAGTAGATGACATCTAATGTAAGAATAGAAAAAGAAAAGCAACCAAAAGGTACAGTGAAGAGGTTTCCAGTTGTAAAAAGAAGTGACACTTGTGCAGAGAGATAGAAAACTGAATGTCAAAGTGGAAATATATGCTCCCATACTAACATCATTCCCTTCTAAAGCTTCAAAACTGTAATATTTTGGTCAGATTTCCAGCTAGTCAAATTTAAAGTCTGTTCATTTTCCACCATCATTTTACCTACTAAGCGCAACATGCACTGTACTTCAATTTTGCATGTAAGATACAATATATTATATAACTTGCATATAGAAAAGAAAAAGTCAACCAATTTCCAATAAAAAGTATAATTCTCCAACATTAAGCATCAGTGTTTCTAATCTCAAGTTCAAATGTTTGATTGTGATCTTCTTTTCTTGGAGATTGCCACCTATAAAGAAACTGTTTTTTCCTATGGATATAAAATCAAAATCTTGCTTTCCATTTTCACCACAATTTATTCCCTGAACTCTAAAGATCAAAACATTAGCATCTACTTTATTGACCACGTGACTCCATACTTCATAGCCATTCTTTTGTGATAGTTTTATATATGACTCAATCGGTTCAATCCTTAACTTCAATCATTTACTTTAACTATTCTGCCAAAAAAAATCATTTACTTAACTAGTAAAATATCCATGATATGTAGAATTGGATTCATAGTTTCATATTTAATTCATAATTAAACTAACTCCACTCCTATATTGAATTATTTGAAGATGAATTTGATAAACGTACCTAGTTTGAATTGAAAATAGAATTGGAACACCATTCTCATTCCAACCTTTTTTAATATATTTCTTGTATTCTTATTCTACAAAATTGGCACTCCTTAACCAAACACATTTCATTACTATCCAGTTCCAAGCAAAATACCAAGTGGCCTAATTCTTTATAATCATAATCTCAAAAAGTTGCATCTACTAAACAATTAGCCAGCTCATTAAAATCCCAAACAAAAATTGGGCGAAGAACAGAAGGAAAAAGAAGAAGAAACCTTGACTTTTGAAAGCACAAGTACAGCATGTCGCTCTTGCCATTCTGAGAGATCATTTCGCACATTGGCTGAAGAACTTCTTGCAGTTCCATCATCATAAGTACTTGTAGCTCCTTCATTATCTGCATGAATTTGGATAAGAAAATAATCATATATGAACTTTCCTACAACACGTTCTAAGCCGGATTAGCTTCCATACCCAGTTCCTATTAATTTACTATTTGACCCATTAAAAGAAACCTACCTAACTATATCTAAACTTTATTCATTTAGTAAGTCAGAAAGCAGATGAAGGTAAACAAAAGGAGAAAAGAAAGAAGGGTTCTATTTGGCTGCAAATAAATCGCAGGAAGAGCTTAACCAATGTAAATCTAAGCAGAAGAATCGAAGCTCGAATTGAGACAAGTATCAATCAAAGAGGGATAATCAAGTACCTTGAAGAGGGAAATTCTTGAAGGTGTCCAAAGTAAATGACTTTATATAATCAATTAACTGGTCTGTAACTCCAAGGTCGTCTTCTTCGTCTGGTTTGCCTTCAAACGTTAGGTTGGATTGTGTAATTGGATCTGGGGTTTTGGTCTTTGAACTATTCCTTGAAACACTGCGTGGAACCCATGAAGACCAGGCCATGGCGACGGGCTCGATTTCTTTGCGGGAAATTACTGAGAATCAATCAAATACACGAGCTTTTGGAAATTTCTTGTTAATAATTTTTATAAATAACCTTAATTAACGTACTATTTAATTTTTTTTTTTTATTTATTTTTTTGGTTGATCAGTAATTCCATAAATATATTCTAAGAATACCTCCACTCAATCTGCATTCATCAAGATAGGAAAAATATTTGAATGTCCGTTAAATTAAAAACTAATTTAATGTAAAAATTATTGGTGGTTAAAATTTTAGCATTTAATTTAAATGTTTTAAGTTTAAAATTTATTAAAAATATAAAATTTATTATTTAAAAATATCATTGATTAGTGATAATCAATTAGTAATAATTTATTTTATTTATTTATTAAATTATTTTTTAAAAAAAATAATAATCTCTTCCATTTCTTAAATTATAGCATGCATTCAATCTCTGAGGGTAAATTAGTTTATATGTAAAAAAAAATGAATAATATTTTTATCCTTTTCAATTACTATAAATTTGGTGAAGAAAAAAATTGTGGATGGTTATTTTCCTTTTAACTAGAGTTGCTGTATCCAGTTAGTCTTCCATCTAAGTTTTATTTTTTTTTTTTTAGAAAAAGAAAATTAACGAAATTATCACGAATATTTTATAATCAGGTAAAAATATATAATAAAAAATTGAAGTGAAATTTAAACATACTTGAAAAATAATTGTATTGGGCCACGAACATTACATTATGGGCTGTCGAGAATTAGTATTGTATGGTATAAAATATGGGCTGTTGACCCTTTAAGCCTCTAACTTATTTGGGCTAGCCTTTTTTGAATACTTCACTCCACAACATTTCATAAATAAATATGGGGGAAGAGAAAATGTAAAATGATTGGTGGGAAGAAAAGAAAGGATTGAAGATGATGATGATGATGATGATGATGATGATGATGATATGATGATGATGATTATGATGATGATGATAAAAAGGAAAACATAGGATGCCTTTATTTATTATTATGTATGGATGAGTGTGGAGGATAGTGTTGTATTTGCATGATCATTCCATTCCAAACAACAACAACAACAACACAAGGCGTGCAATAAACACATGATTTTCATTCATGTCATTCTTACTTTTAACTCTTTTACTCTTTTCTTTCTCGTCTTCTTTGCTTGTTCAACTTTTCTTCTATCATCAATTTCTCTCTCTCTCTCTCTCTCTCTCTCTCTCTATATATATATATATATATGTTTATTATTATTATTATTATTATTAAATTTTGAAACCCAATAATTCAATATGTAATGGGTATTTTAAATTAATACGAACCAACACATTTTATTATTATTATTATATAGTATTTTAACGGAGTATAAATCAATCAATTACTTTTATTTGAAGCAAGTTAAAGACAAAACCCTTTAACTGGTTTCCGTTTGTTGACGGTGATGGGCCCGATTGACCAGGCTACAACTTTGACTTTCCCAAAATCATGAATGATCAAACCAAAACAAATGGTCGCTCATGGTGAACCGGACAGGAAAGGGATATCATATCCTTTAGCCCAATAATAGGCCGATGGGACCCACCGGGCCCACTTCCCCAATCACCCTTAATCCGGCCCACCCGACCCGGTGGGTAATCATTTAATATTAACAAGTAAGTAATGATATCTTTTAGAAATATGAATTTTGATTAAGGAAATAACGTTAATCAATGCATTACGGCTAAAACCCGATTTTCAGGCTTTATTAAAAGAAGTTAATAGGATTAATATGATTAACGTTGAAGATTAGAGGACTTTAAAATAAATATTATGTCAACTTTTAATTCAATTAAATGAATTTAAACTATTTAAAATTTATATTTGACCAAAAATATATATATATATATATATAATATTACATGGGAGGCAAAAAATTGAAAAAGAAACCAATATTGCATGGGAGGCAAAAAATTGACTACCCAACTTATTCTAATAATTTAAAAGGACAAATATAATCTATACACACACACACACACACACATATATATATATCCCTATTGAAATCAAAAAATTAACTGTACTAATAATTATTGGTAAATTAATCATTATTAGTAAATAAATAATTGTTTTTTTAATTTTGATTATTTGAGGATTAGTCTCAATTTCAATCCAAATTCAAAATAGTATTTTTTGTTTGTTATTAATTATTACAAAAATCAATTCAAATAATTCCAACATGATGCCCAAATTAAACCAAATCAATATATAATATAAAGTCGGTGCTGCAAAAAGCATTTTGAATTATATCATCGCTTGCACATAAATATTAAGTCTATAAAGTCGGTGCTTGGGTTATCTATAACTAGAGTTAATTATATTTATATAAATTATAAATTATTATTAACGATAACCATGAGATTAATTATTACTATTATTTTTTCCAAATCATATGATTGTTTGGTCACTAATGTTTCATCATTATCATAATTTTGATATTGAGTATTAATATTTTTATGATTTAAAATTTTTATTTTTTTATTAATATTATATTTATAAAGTATTATTAATTTGATAATTTTCTGCATTCGGATTATTAATTTTTAAAAATTTAAATTTAAATTATTAATATCGTGTAATTTGAATTATATATAAGATTTTAAGAACAATCTTATATATATATATATTAAATGTGTTATTTGATACATAAAGTTCAGATTTGAAAAAAAAAAAGAAAAAGAAAAAAGAAAGTAAAGATGGATTCCAAAATAACAACTTCTTTTGTTTGCGCTTTCATTCCCTTTTTGTTTTGTGGCGAGAAAAGAAATCTTCAACTTTATTTTCCTGCAAAGACAAACTTTTTTATTTTCTGCCTCTTTACAGTGCCTGCTTCAACACTTCCATGGAAACACCAGATGCTTTTCAAGATTTGATCAGATCAACCCTAGTTTTGATTTTATCTTATTAATCATTTTAATCTTTTTTTCTTTTAAAAAGAGAGAGAGAGAGAGAGAGAGAGAGAGAGAGAGAGATGACCCACATGACAGGAGAGGCCCAGTGCTTTGGACAATTGCAATCTATGCTTTGAACATCCCCTGTTTGAAGAAAATGGCCAAAGGAGTTCAGCAACAACTCCAACTCCCTCTCTTTCTGTTTCTCTTTCTCTTTCCCTTTTCCCTCCACGTCTTCCTTTTCTCTTTCTCTCCCTCCATCTGTCATGGACAACCACCACCACCATCACCACCACCACCACCACAACCACCACCACCAACAACAGCAGCAGCAGCAGCAGCTACCTTTGCCAAAGTCTTCTCGCCAACGCTGCAATGAATGGTTTCTCTTCTTTCCTCCTCTTTTAATGTTTTCTTGCTCAACTCTTTAACATTCTCTGCTATGGTGTTGTTGGCTGTTCTTTTTTCCTCCTCTGGTTGTCATCTGAACAATTCATTCAAATCTTTATTCCTTTCTTATCTTTTACCATATTTGATCTTCTACCTTTACGACACTTCCAGTTGTCTTCAAACTCTACATCTTCTTCTTCTTTAAGTTCTAAATATTTTTGGTTCATTCTCCTTTGAGTTCCCGAATGATCCAACATCCATTTTTTTTTTTTGTTTCTTACTGCTTTTTTAATTATTATTCAATTTTAGATTTTCCATCGTTCTTTATTAACTACTCCCTGTCGTTTTGTATCCATGGTTTCTCTTTTGTTAATAGTGTGATGTCATGAAGTTACTTCAAATTTGGATCTTCCTGCTAGTCATGTCTCTGCCTTCTCTTTCTTCCAAGTCAATTGAATCTCTTTGATGTTTGTTTGTATATTTTTCTTTGTCAGAACATGCATTTTGCCGGTTGGCGTCAATATGAAACGAATACTTTTACGTTGAATTTCAGAAGTTAATTCTTTTCAGTTCATGCAGTTTTCTTTCTCCAGTAACTGGAAGTTATCTTCTTGCAGGATATTTCGAGATGTTCCAAGCGATATCACTATAGAAGTGTCTGGAGGGATCTTTGCTCTGCATAAGGTGATTTATTACATTTTTTTTTTCAATCTGATTTCTTTTTATCAATATTTTTTAAATATGGTAAAAGACTACTGTAATTGCTGAACTTTCTCTTTCCCTATTGAATTTGGCTTGCTGCTTCCTCAGTGCATTTCTCATGTTTTAGTTGGTTTAAACAGAATGAACAGCTGCTTTCTGTTACTATCTATCTTAAAGAGATAAGTGAAAGAAGAAAACAGACTAATTAGAATTATCTGATATCATTATTGAACTTCATGATTTCCTTGGACATGATCTTAATCTTTTAGGATGGGGTGGGATTTTCTAATTTGCTTGTTATTGCACTGTTGTTAAAAAGAGACAATATTTTGATTGGTGAAGATTTACTGAATGACAATTTTCAGTGAATACCTTCTAATGACTATCTTAATGTTCAATTCAGTTCCCTCTAGTTTCACGAAGTGGGCGAATCCGGAAGTTAGTTGCAGAACATAGGGATTCTGATATTTCAAAAGTGGAACTTCTTAATCTGCCAGGAGGTGCTGAATCATTTGAGTTAGCAGCCAAATTTTGTTATGGTATAAACTTTGAAATCACTGCTGCAAATGTTGCTCAACTGTGTTGTATATCTGATTACCTCGAAATGACTGAAGAATTTTCAAAAGATAATCTTGGTTCCCGTGCTGAAGAGTATCTTGACAGCATTGTCTGCAAGAACCTTGAAATGTGTGTAGAAGTATTGCAGCAGTGTGAGAACTTACTTCCTCTTGCTGATGAGTTGAAAATAGTTTGCCGGTGCATAGATGCGATAGCCTCAAAGGCATGTGCAGAGCAGATTGCTTCAAGTTTCTCACGCTTGGAGTACAGCAGCTCAGGTAGGCTTCACATGAACAGGCAGGCAAAATGCGAAGGAGACTGGTGGATAGAGGATCTTTCTGTTCTACGAATTGATTTGTATCAAAGAGTCATGTCAGCCATGAAGTTTAGAGGAGTTCGTCCGGAGAGTATTGGTGCATCCTTGGTAAATTATGCTCAGAAAGAGTTAACAAAGAAATCCAGCTTGTGGAATCCATCAGGCCAGACTAAAGTTGATTTGGTTTCAGGTGCAAATGGGCAAGAGAGACATGTGGTTGAGACAATAGTTAGCCTTTTGCCTGTTGAGAAGCTTGCAGTTCCCATCAATTTCCTTTTTGGACTTCTTCGAAGTGCAGTGATGCTTGATTGTTCTGTTGCTTGTAGACTTGATCTAGAGCGGAGAATTGGGTCCCAGTTGGATAATGCAACTCTTGACGACCTTCTGATTCCATCTTTCCGTCATGCTGGTGATACATTATTTGATGTTGACACAGTTCATAGGATTTTGGTGAATTTCTCACAGCAAGATGATAGTGAAGATGATATGGATGATGCTTCTGTTTTTGAATCCGATAGTCCTCATTCACCTTCACAAACAGCATTATTCAAAGTTGCAAAACTGGTGGACAACTATCTTGCTGAAATTGCTCCTGATGCAAACCTTAAGCTTGCCAAATTCCTAGTCATTGCTGAAGCTTTACCAGCACATGCTCGTACTATACACGATGGTCTATATCGAGCCATTGATATATATCTCAAAGTATGTTTTACTCATTTCTTTTTCTTTTCTTTGGCTGAAATATATTTTCGTGATTCTCTTCATGAATCCGTTTTGTGTTTGCAACAAACACACATGGGAACCAATCACCATCGTTGATGAATACTTATGTTTACTCAGAAAGGATAAGCTGTATTACATGTTACAAATTATAAGTGAGGAATAGCCTAAACACTCTTTCCAAAAATAAAATGTTAGGAAAGAACCATGTTTAATCCTTCCCTTCCCAGCTTATTTGTTAGTCTTTTTAGTTCTTTCTCTCTAAGTTTTCATGAATTCATGTCCAGGCACATCAGGGTTTATCAGATCCGGACAAGAAGAAGCTATGCAAACTGATTGACTTCCAAAAGCTGTCACAAGAAGCTGGTGCACATGCTGCACAAAATGAAAGGCTTCCTCTCCAATCCATTGTTCAAGTTCTCTATTTTGAGCAATTAAGGCTTCGAAATGCCTTGTCCTGCTCTTATGCAGATGAAGATCACAAGCCAATGCACCAGTCGTGGCGGATAAGTAGTGGTGCATTGAGTGCAGCAATGTCTCCTCGAGACAACTATGCATCATTGAGGCGTGAAAACAGAGAGTTAAAACTTGAACTAGCTCGCCTACGAATGAGATTAAATGATTTGGAAAAGGAACATGTGTGTATGAAAAGGGATATGCAAAAGTCTCATTCTCGTAAATTTATGAGTTCTTTCTCAAAGAAAATTGGTAAACTGAGCTTCTTTGGACACATATCTTCAAGGGGATCAAGCTCCCCATCAAAGCATTCATATAGAACAGATTCTAAGGTGATCGAGAGAACATGTGCAAGCACTGATTAGGTAATTTGTTTGGTCTGGATTCTTTTTCTCCCTTTTTATGCTGTCCACCTTGTATATGGGTTAAGATAGCAAGAATAGGAACTCTTTCTTTGCACGCTGTTGTTCTGAGTAGTAAAATTTTCATACCCCTTTCAACCTTGACTAAAGAAACTTTGTATAAACATGTAGAAAAGTTGTTCTTATTCCAACTTGTGCAAGCAAGAAAATATGATCTGTGTTGAGAATCTTGATCCAAAGAGCTACTGTTGTTTGTACATCATGGTAGAGATTTAATTATAAAAATTTCATTTCCATTAGAAATATAAAGAAGCTCTTGTGATCTTATAGAATATGATCACAAGAAAGGACCTCACTAGTGGTTTTATCATATTTGGCAAAATCAAACCACACTGGAAACAATACTTGAAGAATAATTGAACAAAGAAAAAGAGTAATTAAACAAATTTACAAAATGTCCATGAATCTGCAGCAATCAACTAAGATGAAAGCAGTGAAATTCTGTTCGAGACTCCACGATTCTCCTCGGACGATCCTTCCCTTTGGTTGGCAAAACAAAAGAAACCTTAAGATGAAGTGACTTACGAGCACTGTCAGGTTTCCTCAAGCAAGAACTCAATATGTTGTTAACATCTCTATCATGCTTAATCTCTTGATGATCCTCTTTGCTGGGAAATTCATTTATGAAGATCTCATCATTAAGCTGATATTCTTCATCTTCACTTGAGTTGACTTCCATTCTGGAGTTTATCAGTGAACTGGTTTTGAATTCCCAATATGTTTTCTGGTACTTGGTGATCGTGTCTTGGAAATACTGGGGGAGAGATTGTCTTCTCAATCTTATGTAGTAATGATGGTCCTGGCCGGGACTAGCACTCTCCAAGGTCTTTCTCTGGCATTGTTGTTCAAAGCATCGGCTTCGATATTGGTGTTTTCGAGTCATCCCAGCATAGGACCTGAGAGGCAAGGTATGTTCAAGAAATTGGCTTGGATGGCTGTTTGGGCTGTAATATGGAGGAGGTTGATTCTGTAGTCCTCTTTCTTTTAACAAGTTATAAATTGTACGATTAGGAACAATGAAGAAAACTCTCCCAAGATTGAGTACTGATTCAGGTTTAACCACAATCCATGGATACTCAAAAACATCCGGCCTGGTTATGCAGTGCCTTGGATTCTTCCTCATGATCTCAGCAGCAGTTATGGGCTGTCTGTGAATCTCCTCATGCCCACCTGGATGTACCAATTTCAATACATCTTTCTGGCATTTTCTTGCAAACATTTCTGATTTCTCTGGCCAGGCAGTTTAAGATTCTGAAGAATGTAAAGAAAGGGGGAGTTTAAGACAACAACTTGGTCCTTCTTATAGCATTATTTTCATTAGAAAGTGACAAAATGGTAACGGGGATTGCTAAGAAAGTATCTTTGGGGAAATAAGTGAAGAATTTCTCATAAATTTAAAGTTAGTTTAGATCAAGAGCTATATAGGAAAATCTTTAATTTTGGTGATGTCTTATATCCTATTTCGATCTTATTTCTCCTCTAAGAGTGACGATCAGATCAATCATTATTTTTAAGAAAAAAAATGTTATCATATCATATTATATTTTTTAAATTTTTTTAATTAAAAAAAGATTAAATTGAGTATTCGTCAGTTTTATCAAATATAATTAAAAAAATCTAATCACTACAAAATATTCTTTTAACGAGAATTATAATAATTTAATGAAAACAATCGTATTAATAAACTAATAAGTTGAATCATAAATTTGTCGAATAAATCATCATGAATCAACAAATACTGACAAGTGTTATGTTATTAGTAAATTTTAAACTCGTAATTTTTAAGCAGAATATTAAAACCTTTAACTGTTGAACTGTAGTGCCAACTTTAACATACTGAATATTAAAAAAAATATATAGTAATATGATTCAAGGATATCTTATCCTTGTTAAAAAATGAAAAAGGAATAGCTGTAATGCATTGCCTAGAAATTAACCCAAGACCGTATGATTCATGCACAATAGTTTCTTTGGATGTTTCACACGGATCATTCTCTCAGCTGAATCTATCTTGTTTATCTTATGGACATTGATACCTAACTTCATGTTAAGGCATGCGCCCATTGTTCACACTTTATTGTCCGTACCTTCAAAGGTTTTTTTTTTTTTTTTTTTTTTTTGGCTAGAAAAATCTCATACTCTGGACTTTACCTAATAATACAATGTTATATTTGTGAGTAAATTGTAATATAAATTTTAATTATTTTATGAAAAAAATTTATAAATATATCTAACAAGGATGCAAATTTTGTTACTCCAGGCTGTTCTGTTTTAGTTTTTAGCAGGTGGTAGACAATACATATCAACCATAACAGCATCCTTGTAGTAGAACGCAAAGTAACAAAATCCAAGTAGTAGAACGCGAAAACTTTAACAGATAACAGCATCTAATTTTTGCTCTTCAAAGCAAACCATTGATTCTTTATCGGTACAAGTTTGGAGGATCATCAAATGGCAAACTACTGAAGAGAAAAAAGCAACAATATCAACTCTTGCTAAGAGAAAAGATGAAAGGCAAAAACCAAGCAAATAATCATCAAATGCAAACATCCTACCATCCCATGATATGTAAGATAGTTCAAATAAATGGAAATGACATGGGGATATTGAACATTATCAAGAGTCTCCTCATTTTTCTTTTGCATCCTTACTACTCAAGCGGATGCTGATTTGGTATAGAAACGGACACCGACAGCCAAACCCAAGATTAGCAGGGGAACAAGGAACTGCAGTAGTTTTATGATGAACTCCGGTGTCTTGTCCTGGTTGTAGTGAGGTTGCTTTGGAGGTGTGTATGTAGTCTTGCTGGGGATTGTTGATGAATCGATATCGCCCACGTAGAACTCATCCATCATTGCTCTGGCACTCGTACTGTGGCCAACATCCTCAAAGTCATCGGTTGCATCCTTCCCTGCAAACCAAATGTCATCAATGTACATCTGCAGATTGGGGAAAAAATGCTGGCATAAAAAAACCATTGCAGCTAACATCATACCTGTAGCGGACAATAAGACCTCATCACCACCAGGATGGTCTTCCAAAAACTTTGTCACATCATATACCTGGTCCCCAACAAAAAGATGAAGAAATGAAAGGAATATTGCAATCCCACTCAAAAATATCACTCGCAATATTGAACTTGTAAATCTCAAGCCTTAAGTTGATTAATATTAAGAGTTACAGTTGTAGTATCTGACATGGGCATGAATACTGTTGTCCTTAACTTTATATATTACATACACCACCATCTATAAGTAGAGTAATAATAGAAATTATTAGGTAACATTTTCATTGAGTTTGGGGGAAAAGACATTCTGTTGTGTAAGTATGAACTTTTATAAGTATGATGACTATCATGATGAACAAATGTTCTGGAATACTTCATTTGTTTAAAGTCACCAAACTAGGGAACTAAGGCCTTCCTCTAACATTGTGAAAAGCAACTTGCAAGGGAAATTAAAATGGAAGTGCAAATAAAAATTTATTCTTTTGTTATAATTATGAGATGCATAATGTGAATTATTGCACTTACTGCACGAAAATATTCTATCTATATGATTTTAAAGATGAAGTGAATAAGAAAACTTCAGGAATAAGCATCTCCTTGAAGCATGGATTACCATTGAAACCAAAGGAATGAAAAAAATGTTAATGTATACTGCCTCAGCATATTAATAATATTTCAGCAAACGATATAGTGGATTTGCGGTTGGTTTATACTTTTAGCCCAACAGACTTAAATGTGAGGAAAAGCTTTTAGATTACAGGAAAAAAATCATGAACGCTCTTCGTACTGGCTTAAGATGATAAACCAAGAAAATTGGCTCCAATGGCTGATGTCTTCTATTATGAATATCTTCTAACAAATTTGCGCCCTTAGCAATCAAATGGAATAATAAGAAGCAATTTACTGAGGAAATTTAGGGTCTCAGATTCCAAGTACCATGCTAGGGATAATACAATCCTGCCTAGCTTTTAATGATTAAGACAAGATGCCATCAAAATGCAACGGATATGGATTCCTCCTATTTGACCAATCCGAAAGATAAAGATTTACTTAAAAAGAAAATAATCTAGACGAATCATCTTTAGCTTTTCACCTTGATTTTATACAAGCAGCTTAAGACACTTGAAAAGAATGGACATATCTTTCCATCATTCTCATACTTCAAATTGAAGAAACCAAGCCGGAAACATGTATTTAAACAGATCTATCTATATATTCATGTTCAAAATCCTTCCCACCTTAAAAATCAAAAGCAATAAAACAAACATGAAACCAGAGATGCAAATCAAACAGAAAAAGGGGGAAAGTGATAAAACAAACTTATATAGAGTCATGATTGATCTTAACAAAAAAGAAAAATCAAATTCCAGATCCAATAATCTCAAATCTCGTAATACACAAAACAGAACCAGCATGAATACGTGATTTTCACACGAAACAAAGATCCAAATCTACGAAAAGGAAAGGGAGAAGAAGAGAGGAACCCAGCAATCAAAAAACACAAGACGCGATAAACTTGCGAAAAATAGGATCGAAGCGAGACCGTATAGTACCTTGTTCTCGATGACAAGCCAACAGTCTTTGGGGCTGTTGTGGGCAGCGACCTCGGCTAAAGTGAAGATCTTTCTGTCTCCACCCATTTTCGTCTATCGAAGAGCGAAGACGTTTGATCAGTCGAAAGTGGGGAGTCGATTTGAAATCTTAAAAAGAGAAAGAGGGAGTTTGGTGAGGTCAATATTCAGGATTTGCTGTGGGTGGGGCTGGGGAAGGTAAGATGGCTGCCTCACCAACCACCTGTAAATTGTAAATTTTTTTGGCCGTTTATGGAAGTTTAGGTTGGTTTTTTAAGGCAGTAATTTTTTGAGTTAAAATATGATCATACGATACTTATTATTCCCTGTATTTTTTGAAAAAATTTCACATTGACTCTTGCAGTATCTTTTTTTTTTAAATACAACCTTATAATTTTTTATTTTATCCTACCACTTAACGGTATTATAACACGACTTAACAAATATTCACGTAACAAATAATATTACTACATGGATATCGTGATCACTAATGCATCTAACACATGGCAACACCATTTAAGTTTAGAAACTAATAAATTTGTAAAATAAAATAAATTGTTCAATTCATTTAAAAATGAAGAAATTTAATTGAAAAACTGCCATGTAATTATCATGCCCCTTACCTACTCCATTTTGGTATTTAAAATTTAAATTTCCATTTATTTAATGATTTGGTTATTTTAATTTTTTAATGGCAAATTTTTTTTAATTAGTAGACGCTAATTAGCACGATTACCTCTTAATCTAAATCATATTCTAATATGAAAGAAACATTGCGGGCTGGGCATATCAGGTTCAACTGACAAGAACCTGCAAATAATCCAATTATGAAAAACTTATTCCTTGTATCTTTATTCGCTTTTCTTTAAGGTTATGTTTGGAGTAAACCAAAATTTGTTATAGTTACTTAGTATACATCAATTATATATATAAATATGCTGCCACCTACTCTGTCCTTTCATACGGAATATGCTTTTAGAATTTAGCCTCAAGTCTCGTATGATTTCCACCTATCTTTTTTAAACCCATTTAGACTTTACAATGGGTTGCCTAATCTTCTTGCAGAAAATACCAAATCATAATTCTACAGAGACGTTCTGCTACACAATCATTCAACAGTAATAATCTTGACGACGAGAAAAAACCGCAGCAACTGTACAGTATATCTTAAATTTAACATATCATTTGTTAGCAAAATCTTAGCGTCGTAGTTTATAACAGAAGTAGCAATTTTCATGAAAGATAAATCAGTATTTGACAGCAGCAATAATGTCCAACTGTGAGCCAAGCTTCTCATCTGCCACCTTCTCAGCCTTCAACCTAAGTTTGTTCAACTGTTTCTTCCTCTCATAAACCACTTGAGACCTCTCCTTTCTCTTCTTTTCAAGCTCCTGAACACAAGAGAGTGAGTGAATGAAAGACATAAATTACACAGAATTACAAGCTATGCGGTATGCAATCTTGTTTACTATTAAGCAAGCTTGGATATGATCACATGAAACCCCTAATAAATTTACTCATCTTAGAAACGTAATCTACATATAAAATAAACTCAAGAAACTCCATTC